CAGAAAAAAATTAAAAACATAGAAATAAATTAAAAAGCCATAATTTACTTATTTGAAAGGACTAATAAAATGAATAATCACGGGTAAGTCTTACTTAGAACAAAAAGAAAATTATGTCAATATTATGGATGAAAGGCAATACTATTGGTCATTTAGAAAATGATATTTTGGAATATTATGGAAACTTTATACCAATTAATTTGATAATTTAGGTAAAGAAGACTATTTCCTTGGAAAAGGAAATTTATCAAACTTGAGAGAAGAAAAAACAGACTGTCTCAATAACTTGATGTCTATTTAAAAACAATTTCTAAACAACCACTTTCCCACAAGTAAACACTAGGTGTAGAAATGTCACAGCAGCTTGTTCAATGTGTGAAGAGGAAAGGAGCACTTCCCCTAATGAGAGACTTCTTGGTTGTTTGCATTCTTTGGCTATGAAAGATGATGCTTGTAAAAGCATTCATGTGCAATTTGTTGTGGGAATGTAAATTGTTATTTGTCTGAGATACATGCCCAGGAATACAATTGCCAGGTCATATGGTAAGTATAAGTTTATTTTTTTAAAAAAGTGCCTTACTATTTTCCAGAATGGCTGTATCATTTGGTGTTTCCACCAGCAATGTATGAGAGAGACAAAGTATCTGCATCTTTGTCATTTCTGGGTGTTAGTATGTTAAATATTTTAGCCCTCCTGATAACTGTGTAGTAATATCGGATGTGGTTTCGATTTGCATTTCCCTAACGACTAGTGATGCTGAACACATTTTTATGTGCTAATGTGTCACCTTTTGTGAAAAGTCTATTAATGTCTTTTGGCCATTTTGGTTTTTTTACTGCTGATTTTTGAGTTATTTATATATTTTAAATATGTCCTTTGTCAGATATGTGGTTTGCAAATATTTTGTCACAGTCCGTCACTTGTCTTTTTATCCTTTTCGTATGTTCTCTCACTGATAAATTTTTTAAAATTTTGATGAGAGCTATTTATCAGCTTTTCCTTTTTATGAATGGTGGTTTTGGTTAAACCTAAGTACTCTATGTAGCACTAGTTCCTGAAGATTTTCATTTTTTTTCCTAAAACTTTTACAGGTTATGCTTTACAGTTAATGCTGTGTTTAGTGTGAGATAATTTTGTGTAAGGTGTGATGTTTAGATCAAGGTTTGTTCTTGCACCTGGGTGTGTAATTATTCCAGCACAATTTATAGAAAAGGCAATCTTTCTGCATTGAATTGCTCTTGCACCTTTAACAAAAAAAAAATCTGTTGAGCATATTTGTGTGGATATATTTCTGGGCTCTTTTTTCTGTTCATTTTCCCCATGTGTCTGTACTTCTGCTACTATAATGCTGTCTTCTTTACTATACCTTTATATAAGCTTTGATGTAGACCACAGTGATTCCTCCCACTTTTTTCTTCTTTTACAAGATTTTGAACTATTCTTTTCTAGATATTTTGCTTTTCTATGTAAATTTTCCGTGTATACAAAAAGCCTTGCTAGGATTGTGACAGAAATTGTGTTAAACATATAGATAAATTTGGGGAGAATTGACATCTTTACTATGTTGTTTTCCAATCCAAAAACACAGTAAGTTTCTCGATATGTTTGTCTTTTTTATGTCTTTTATTAGCATTTTGTAATTTCAGCTTTCAGATCCTGTACACTTTTTTTTTTTACCTACGCATTTTATTTTCTTTGGATCAATTGTAAATGGTATTGTCTTTTAATTATAGTTTGCACATGTGTGTTGTTATTATCTAGAGATGCAACTTATTTGTTTGAGTTGATCTTGTACCCTACTTTCTTGCTGAAATGACATATTAGTGCTATAATTTCTATATATGTTTCTTGAGATTTTCTACATAGAAATATAAAGTGTTTTTTCTTCTTTTTCAATCTGCATGCTTTTTATTTCTTTTCCTTGCTTCACTGTGCTTGTTTCAGCTTCTAGTATCATGTTGAGTAACTGTAGCAAGTGCAACATCCTTCCAGTGCTCCCAATCTTAGGGATGAAGTTCTCAGTCTCTCACCAGGATAATATTGGCTATTGGTCTTCTTTATCAAGTTGAAGAATTTCTCTTCTATTTCAAGATTGCTAAGAGTTTGTTTTTGTTTTTCATTAAAGGATGTTTAATTATATCCAGTGTTTTTTCTGTGTCAGTTGATGATTATATGTTGTTCTTGGGCCTCTTGACTTGGTGGATTGCCTTGATTGATTTTCAGATCTTGAAACTGTCATGCAAATTTACAAAAACTACAACTTGGTCCAGGGGAGTATAATTCTTTTTACTCATTACTAGGATTGATTTGCTGATAATTTCTCGAGGACATTTTTAGCAAAGTTCATGAGAGATATTAGCCTGTCACTTTCTTTTTTCATACTGGCTTTGTCTAATTTTTGTATTAGGGCAATACTGGCCCATAAAGTGAGTTGGAAAGTATGAGTGTTATCCTTTCTTCTATTTTCTGGAAGATGTCGTATAAAATTATTAACAGGTTTTGTGTGTGTGTGAGAGTGTTTGTGGAGGGGAGATTTTTAGTTGCCAATCCAATTTGTTTAATGGTTTTAAGAATATTCAGTTTATGTGTCATCTGTATTGCTTTGGTGGTTTTGTGATTTTTGATGAATTGACCTATTTCATCTTATTTGTTAAATTTATGGGTATAAATTTATCCATACTATCTTCTTGTTATCTTTTTTTTTTTTTTTTGCTTTTTGTCTTTTTTCGTGTCCAGCAACGGATCGCAACCCTCAGTGTTGCGCCCGTACCGGACTGGGACCGGCAACGGGATCGCAAACCTCGGTGCTGTGCCCGCACCTCGCTCAGCCAGTGAGCGGGAACCGGTCTGTATGTGGGATCCGAACCCTCAGCGGGAGCGCCGCCACACTCCCAAGCGGCGCACTGTAGCAGTGCGCCACCGGGCCGGCCCTTCTTGTTATCTTTTAACAACAGCAGAAGCTGTAGTGCTGTTTTATTTCAGCCATTTGTGATTTCTATGTTTTCTTTTTAACTTTGTCAGTCTTACTAGAGATTTTTCAATCTATTGAATTTATCAATGAACTAGGTTTTTGGGTTTTAAAAAAATTTTTGCTATTGTTTTCCTATTTTTAATTTAATTGCTTTTTGCTCCTATGTTATTATTTTCTCTCTCATACTTCCTTTGTATTTATTTTATTTTTTTTTATGTTTGTTTAGGGAAGATCATATTATTGACTTGTAATCTTTCCTTTGTTTGTATTGTAAACATTTTAATAATAAAATTTCCTTCTCAATACTGCGTTAGCTGCACAATATGGTTTTTTTGGAAAGATGGCTGACTGGAGATGGCCAGTCCTCTCCTCTAATGCAAAGAACGTCCAAAGCAACAAGTGAATAGTCACCTAGAAAAATATCGTATCTAGGAGAAAATGACAGAATCTAGCAAAATAGTGAGGAAGACCCCCCAAGATCTGGAAATTTGAGATGGCAATATAGAAAGACAAGGGAAACACCCAACCAAGACCAGCATGGAGACTGGAGAGACCCCTTACCACTGGGACAAGGCAGGCGGGGGTGTCTGAAATTGGTGCTACCACAACATACTGCAATTCAAGCTGCAAGCCATGTGGCCCTTGCTGCCAGTGAGCCCGGCATGGAAAG